AGCTCTGTCCCAGCCTCATCCTAAGCCCCAGGACTCCCAGGGGCCATAACAGCGCCCTCCCCAGCCCCCGGGGTGGTGGCTGGACCTTGGCCTGGCCCTTGACTCCCAGGTGATCTGGCATGGGCATCTACCCATGGATTCTTTCTCCTCTTTCAGTGGGTTTGAGAATCACGTGAGCACGTCGGGCTCTCCTCTAGGCCAGAAATTGGGGGTGGGTTGGGCAGGTGAGTTTAACGAGTGGGGTTTCCTGAGATCCAGGCCTGCCTCCCTTCTGCTTTAGGTGCAGGGCTGATCTCTTGGTCAAGCCCAGGGCTGGTGCTGCCTCAGCCTCCCAGACTCTGAGTGGGAGTGGTGCTGGGGCCACCTCCCCATCGGTCTCTGCAGCTGGCTAGTGCTTGCTGAGTGTCTTTTGTGTACCGGGCCCATTCTGACCACTCGGACCCTTTCCCAAGCAGCCTGGGCTGGGGAACTAGGCTCAGGGTGGTCCACGGCTTTGTCCTGTAATATTCTGGGGGTCTAGGGCTTTTCTCTGCTCCATCGGATCCCAGAGTCTTCGTCTGCAGCTCTGCCTAGTAAATGCTTCTTGTAATGAAGTAGGGAAAAAGGTAGGAAGGTACAAATGCCACTTCAGTTGTTTCCGATATTCAGAGATGGCCTCAGGCACCAGGCTCTGGAATTCCCAGCTCCCACAATTCATACCTGGAAACCAGAGCCAGAGAGGCGGAGGGGCGCATGGGGGGCACATGTTGTCCCCCATGTTACTGATGCGGGTGGAATAGGGAGACCTAGCTGCCCGAGCCGGGGGTCTGTCCAGTGGTGCCAGGACACAGGCTGTATCTGGGGAGGATGGGGCATCCACGCCTGATTCTAGCAGATGGTGAGGTGGGGGCAATGGAGGAAGCACACAGGGGTCCGGGGTGGCCTCCACTGCTCCCTGGAAAGCAGGGCTGCCAGGCTCCCTAGCAGGGAGGGGGCTTCTAGCACAGAGGGGGCTTCTAGCATTCAGGTTGGCAGGCAGGACTTCTCAATGTGGGAACTCTGAGCACCAGAAGGCAGAGGGGTGGTGATAGCCAGCTGGGCTGAAGGGCAAGGGACAGGCCCTCTGGGGTGTTGGCAGAAGCCAGTGATGGATCAGCTGCCTCCATTTGGGCAGGAGAAAATGTCACTGGGGCCCTTCAGCCACAAAAGAAGCACCCAGACTTTGGTTGGGGGTCCTGAGGGTCCCACTCTGGGCCTGACTAATTTCATATTGGAGGTGGGGGAGTGACAAAGAGGGGTGCTCCTGGTGGGTGGGAAGGGGGCTGTCTGGGTTCCATGTCTGGGGGACCGAGGTGATGCGCGGGCAGTCAGCACGTGGCCAGCCGCTCACACACCCAGCCATTCAGAAGGCTGTTGCAGAAGGCATCATTCCACTGCCCGGAGCTCAGCATCATCACGCAGTCCTCGCCTTCACCCCCGTTGTTGGGTTCCCCTGGCCGCCAATTGCTGGAGCAGAAGGCTTTGGGTTAGAGGATGGAGCAGGGAGAAGGGGCCCCACTGCTTTCAGCCTAGGCACACCCCTCTGAACCTGGGCCCTCCCAACCCCATCCCTGGATCTCCACCCCATCTCTGTGCAGCTCTAGAGATTTAACCTTAATGGTATCCCTAATAAAACTTAGTGCTGTGGTTAAAAAACCGAAACAAAACAAAAAAAACCCCCGACCGTCTCCCCCATTGCAATGGAGAAGCTTCCCCAAGTCTGGACCTGGGGCGCCTGCTCCCAAATGCCCTCTCCTCTCATCACAGAGAGGTCCCCCTCTCCAAGCCTGGGCCTGGGGCCATTTCCTCTACATCACCCCTTCTCACCTATAGTTCACAGGGTTCTCATCCATCCAGACAAAGTTCCCCTCAATGTTCAGGTCCCGAAGGCCAATCCAGGACTCCTTTCTGTTGATGTGCTTGACCAGGAAGTCCTGGGGGACAGGACAGGGCTGGAGGACTGGGGAGATGTGCTTGGGTCCCCCTGCCATCCAAGAGGTTGGGATAGGGCTCCACCTCCCCCCTGACCACCATGCTGGCCACACTCTCTGGCAAGCCCAGGCCCACCTGCTCCTCCTGGCTGTGGATGCTAACCAGCCGCCCTTGGAGTTTGCTGCAGGCCAACCGTGCCTGGATCCACCTCTTAGCGCCCTCACCGAAGTAGTAGCACTTCCGTTGGAAATTGACCCACTTCTCGGGGCACATGTTACACATGGAGCCTGGGGTGGAGGAGAGGCTCAGGGGGGCAGCTGTGGTGGGCACTGTGGCTGGCGCTGTGGCTGGCACTGTGGTGGGCACTGCAGCAGGCACCATGGTGGGCACTGTGGTGGGCACTTCGGCGGGCACCATGGTGGGTGCTGTGGTGGGCACTGCGACGGGCACCATGGTGGGTGCTGTGGTGGGCGCTGTGGCTGGCCCTGGGGTGGGCACTGTTGCAGGCACAATGGGTAGAATGGGCAGAGTGGGTGGCAGCGTCTTTCCTCGAGTCACTCTTGGGGTCTGGACTGAAAGCAGACCCACCTCAGAGCCTAAAAGAGTCTCGCAGGCAGCTCTCTTTCCTGGAGCTCCGGTGCTGACATGCAAGACCAGCCCCACCACAGGAACACCTCAACCGCCAACACCATTGCCACAGATGTCCTTCACCATGAGCAGAACGTCAGCCACTGACACCATCACCATAAACACCTCTCGGCCAGCAGCACCTCAACCATTAATGACACCATCACTATCAGTATACCCATGGCCAGCAGCACTCCAGTCACACACAACATCACCACACTACCAGCACCACGGCCAGCACCACCTCAACCACCAACGTCCTCACCACAAACATCTTCACGGTCAGAAGCACCTCGACCGCCGAGAGCATTGCCACTGTCAGCAACACCTTTCTCACCAATATCATCGCTGTGGCATCATCATGCACAACTGCCAGCAGCATCTCTCCACCACCACCACCACCATGGCCACAGCAGCTTCACCAGTACCACACCAGCCATGTCTGAATCACCAGCGCTGACGGCAGTGCGAAGACCAGGACCACCAGCATTGCTTTTCCTATGCTGTCCCCACCAACTGCTCCAGTGACGGCCCTGGCCACCATCACTACCTGCACCCCCAAAACTGGCACTCTTGGCCACTTTCTGGGGTATTGAGCTGATTATCTTCTCATTGGTCAGGACAGCCTGTGGGAGTAGGGAAGGGGACGGTGGCCTGGGTCCCCATGGCCTCAACCTTGGGGCCTCCTTGGTCTCTCTCTCCCCTTGCTCACAGCCCAAGGAAACTCTCAGGCACTGTCGCTGCCACCAGCATTCCCAGGTGGGAGGTTGAACTCACTGTTACAGGGTCCACTCACTTGTGATTTTTTTTTTAAAGATTTTATTGGGGAATTGGGGGAGGGGGAGATACAAGCTGCTGTCCCTTTTTCTGTTCTTCAGTCTAGTTGTGGAGGACGTCGCCCCACCGGCCCATGTTGGCATTATCATTGCGCTCTTTCTGGGTGAGTGAGTCGCTCGCTGGCCATTGGACGGCCGCTCACGGCGGCTCACGCAGCCCA